TTACACCCGGTGGGACCCGGCGAAGTTTTGGGCATGTTCAAAACTTTGGCCGGCTGGCACCGGCCGCAAGTAAGCGGCAAGAGGATGGTGTTGAACGGTATGAATACGTTATGAAAACGGTCACACTGTATGAACACGTTCACAACACGCTCATAACCTGTTACAGAACGGTGATGAAAAATGGAGAGCGGACTGACCGTTGCCGTTCAAATCGGGGTATTTATGGCAGTCGTGTCATGACGTCAGCAGTCCGGGGACTCGCTCACAGGACGCTCCGAGCAGTGAGGGGACGCTAAGTGACTGGTAGGTGGCTGCTACAAACCCGGTGCACACGTTCGAGACCCGGTATGGGCCCGGTATGGAAACGGCCAAAATTTTCAACAAAAGTCAATCTGGGCGGTGAAGACGGTAGAAGCATGTTCAACACCCGGTATGCGCCCGGTGAGAACGGTCAGAAGATGGCAACGAAATGGTGAAAAGATTAATTTTATGAATTTTTTTTGCGGCCGGGGACAAGTTCGCTCAAAACCCAACGTTCTGGACTCTGTTTTTTTTTAATAGCCCGGCAGGTGGACGGTAGGCCTACACGGCAGAGTGTGAGAGCTCCATAAGATTTCTAATTGTAGTCAACATGGGCAGTTGAGTGCGTTGACACGCATGATCAGTTGGCGTTCGTTGTGTTCTCGTCCACTCAATCTAAAAGTCCCTAATGAAAGAGGGGAAGGTGAGAGGAGGGGGGGGGGGGGGAATCTACATGTACCATATATCTCACACATCCTCACACTCATGTACTGTACATGTACATGAATCATGGTGACAAAAATGTATTTAGCCCAGTAATACATGTACTTAATTAGCTGGTATTAATAAAAAAGCAAGAAAAACAAATTAGTGATAGTTTGAACTAGATGGAACTTCAACTGCACGCAGTCGAAATGATGCCTCCGTCATAGAGCAATTTTACAAACCAAAACAGAAGCAATTGTTCAAATTCAAGTTCAATTGTAATACATTAACAGGTTCTCAGAATATCGTGATTACAAGCAATTTCTCATATACATATATGACCCTTTGATCTTTGACCACATGACCCTAACATCTACTCAGTTCATTGGCTCTGCAAGATGTCCCCGAGTTAAATAGTAATCCATCTGTCAGTTCTAATGAGAATGCGTTCACAAGCTATTTTTGCATACATAATGAGCCCATGACCTTTGACCTTTGACCTCATGACCCAAGAATCTACTCAGTTCATTGGCTCTGCAAGATACATACATGATCTAAGTTTGGGAGGAATCCATCAATCTGTTCTAATGATAATGCGATCACAAGCTATTTTTGCATGCATAATGAGCCGCATGACCTTTGACCTTGACCTCATGACCCCAAAATTTAATCAGTACATCGGCTCTGCAAGTAACATACATGACCTAAGTTTGGCAGGAATCCATCAATCGGTTCTTGAGATAATGCGATCACGAGCTGTTTCAGCATACATAATGAGCCCTGTGACCTTTGACCTCGTGACCCCAAAATCTAATCAGTTCATTGGCTCTGCAAGTAACATACATGACCTAAGTTTGGCAGGAATCCATCAATCGGTTCTTGAGATAATGCGATCACGAGCTGTTTCAGCATACATAATGAGCCCTGTAACCTTTGACCTTTGACCTTGTGACCCCAAAATCTAATCAGTTCATTGGCTCTGCAAGTAACATACATGACCTAAGTTTGGCAGGAATCCATCAATCGGTTCTTGAGATAATACGATCACGAGCTGTTTCAGCATACATAATGAGCCCCGTGACCTTTGACCTTTGACCTCGTGACCCCAAAATCTAATCAGTTCATCGGCTCTGCAAGATACATTCATGACCTAAGTTTGGCAGGAATCCATCAATCGGTTCTTCAGATAACGCGATCACGAGCTGTTTTTGCATACATAATTAGCCCTGTGACCTTTGACCTTTGACCTCGTGACCCCAAAATCTAATCAGTTCGTCGGCTTTGCAAGATACATACATGACCAAAGTTTGGCAGGAATCCATCAATCGGTTCTTCAGATAACGCGATCACGAGAACGGGACGTACGGACGGACAACCCGAAAACATAATGCCTCCGGCTACTTCGTAACGGAGGCATAAAAATATCTGATTTAAAGTAAGAAAGTTATGATTTTTTAAAGTTGTCATCAGTAAAACACAAATTGGCAACACTGTGATATACTGTACATGTACATGTATCTTGCGAGGTCCTCTCCAATTTGCTCCATAAAGCAATTTCATGAACTTTCATTTTCTTTAGTACTAATGATGGAAAAGATATGTTTCATACAGGGGTTGTAAAGAAACATATTTGCAATCATTATACATGTATTTAGGGAGCATATAATGTATGATTGAACATTTTCTCTAAAGAAAATAGAAATTTCTGATATTTTTTAAAGTACTGAGCAAATGATAAGGAACCTTGTAAGATTCACCAAAGAGTTGCCAATTTGTGTTTGGGCCTGAACTTTAAAAATTCATAACTTTCTTATTTAATTTTAATCATATTTTGCTCAAACTTTCATTGACCTGTTCCTCTCATTTTCTGCTTTATTAAAACCAACTTAATATTGGGGTGGACTTTTCATTTTAAGCTTGGAAATCAGTTTTTAATGTGGCATTTGTTATCCTCTCTTGAGCTTCTATCAGACCAGAAGCATATGAAATGGGTGATTACTGAGCTCTGAGTACACAGTGTAGGAATTTGAAGCGTACGATAAAACACTGCAGTTCACCAAGGTAAAGCTAGGCCCCATTGCATACAACTTACCATAGCAATATCACTCAACAACCAAGCAATATCAATTAAGGTTTCCAAATTTACCATTAATGGTAAGTTTTATAAGCAATGGGCCTAATAACAAGGTTGTATTGTACAAGGTTTTATCAGTGCGATCAACAATTCATTTCATGTTATGACTCATTCTTCTGTCACTGAAATTATCACAGGTAGGGATCAGTAACACCTAACCTACTCTGATAATTTAAAAATTCTTTCTCTCTCTCTTTCTATCTCTCTCTCTTTGTCCGTCTGTCTGTTTCTCTGTCTGTCTGTCTCTGTGTCTCTGTCCCTCCCCCTCCATCTCTCCTTCCCTCCCTTCCATCATCCATCATTCACATCGATCACTAAAAATGACTGCTAATTAAAAATCAGCTAGGTGTAATTAAGGGAGCCATGCAGGATGAGATAATGCGATGACACCATTCAGAGTTCCTCTTCCTCATTAAGTCGTCAGTAATAATTATGAGTCACGAGTGGATGAATTTTGAAAAGGGTCATTTCACTGTATCAAAGCGCATTTCAACCATTTTTTTTCCCACCAAAATTAATGAACTAAATTTAATGACAAAAATGGCACAAGGATAATGCTTACAAAAAATAATGTTGTATTGCCCTTGGCGACCGACCCAAAAAATCTTGAAATCTACGGTCGGCATTCAAAGCTGAGAAATATCAGCCCAAATAAGGAGTTTAAAAAAAAAAAAAAATTAAAAAAAAAAGAAGATTTCCGACCGACCGACCCATGTTTTGGCACCTACATGTGAAGGACAAGACAACATCTTTTTTTTTTTAGGCCTGAATATAGAACCTTTTCAATTTAAATTCCTCAGGAGGGAAAATAAATCACTACATGTATGTTCGTTAGTGATGAACATTCTAAGCTATAAATGGATGATGCAATATTTGGTGAATAATCCCTCCAACTTCTGGGCTCGCTGGTATAAAATAGTGTCTCTTTCTGTCTCTCTGTTTCTGACTGAATGTTCGTCTCCCTCCATCTCTTTTAATCTCATCATCTTTCCCCTCCCCTTCCTCCCTCCCTCCCGCCTTTCCCTCTCTAGATGTCTCTGTCTTTCTTTCTAGCTCTCCCTCCCCTCTCTATCTTTCTCTCTCTCTGTTCCCTCTCTCTCTCTTTCAGTACTCACCCTCTACTTATCAGTTTTAAAGAAATCCTCTTGTCTTTCTTTCCTCTCTTTCCCTCTAACTCTCTCACTCTCCCGCTCTGATCAGAATTAATAACATGCTAAATGTGATCTAAGGATGAGTGCCACAGATGAGTCAACATTTTCTGACTAGGAACCATGATTCATCATTGTTCTGTCTCTATCAAGCAATTAGATTTTTAAGGCATACTGAACTCTTTTTTTGTGGATCATACATCAATATTATCTTTTACCTTTCCCAGTGGGGATTTTTCCTGACAATGATAAAATATTCAAATTACAACAATTTCTATATTTCCAGGGAGGATGTCCGATTTTAAAAAACTGCCTTGACTGCATACTTATAATCTTCCAGTCCAGATTTGTATCTATGAACCATAAATGTATCTAAGAAACATAAATGCTAAATACAATCATTTATGTCATTTAAAGAAGACTCCTTGCTAAAATACTCTTATTCAAGGCATTTTTAAGGAGGATTTTGGAACAAATATGCACCCTTGCTTCCAATTTTGCAGATTTTGAATTTTTTTAAATGCACGCAAATAATAAACAAAAATCTTATTTCTCAAGATCTTTAGGCTTAAAGATGCATTTTAACCATCAAAGTCTGAAGACATAATACAATTCTTCATTCATACATTTGATGACAAGTGAACATCAAAGAATTCTCAGATATGCAAATACATGAACAAAAGAACTGTAACATCTACAGTCAAACCTGCCCTAGGCCATCACCTGTATATAAACGCCACCTGTCTATATAGAGACTGCTTTAAAAAAATTGTGTTCCTTCAGCAGAGTTTTCTGTTGAAACTTGTATTAAAGGAACCTTTATATAAAAGACCCCCTGATCTTATGACCTTTCTTGTCTCCCTAGAGTGTTCCATAAATAAAGGTCTTGTTGTATGTGATGGATAGAATTCTATACAACCAAAACGGCTCATTGTTTAAACTTAACAAAGCATAAATCAATTTTGTTTAATGTAATCTACAAGTTTACTTACCAGAAGGCATATTGATGGGGTGTTGTGAGAAAAATACTACAAAGTTATCGAAGGAAAACAAAAGGCTACGATCACGCTCAACCTCCGGCAGTTGACTTTATTGGTCACTACAAGGAAAACTCCAAACACGCTGAAGCAACTTTACACGTTTGGCAAATAAGGCACGGGAAACTTGCGACAACGTCTGCAGCTCACGATCGGGATGAGGACAACACCTTCTCTGCTCTGCATGAAACAATCTGCAAATAATGACAGGAGAGAGAAGGAGAGAGAAATGGAGAGTGAGAGGGAGCTCTATTAAGTGTATGTTGTGCGGTAGACTGGGAGATTGCGATCGGCGCACATGCCTGAGTCATAACTTGTGCATCTAATCAGCATGTCTGATCACTTTGGAGGCAAGCGCGGTCACCGAGGGTAACTGCGATTTGCAATTTTGTTTGGTCTCCTTGGGTGCATGTATACCAGTGGAAAGGAGCGGGGGTGGGGAAGATAGAAAGTGGTTAGGGATCATATGAATGTATAATCAGAATAATCCAGGAAGCAGTGAACAAACAGGAGCTGGGGTGAGAAACGAATATCAATCAATTGTGAAAAGGGTGAGATAAAAAGCTTGAAGGTAAATTGAACATACCGGTAAATGTTTTCTAAAATTTGTATGATAGATCTGTAAGTCTTCCTGGAAAATTTAAATTTTGTATTGATCTTTTCACAAAAGAGAAATAATCCTTTTTTCATTGGATTTTAATAGCTGCATATGAAAAAATATATACCCGGTATTAAATACATGTTCATGTAGGTACAATGTTGGCTAGTTAATAAGTTCTCTTGATTTCTATTTGATAGATATCCACATCTCATCAAAATCTTATAAGAAAAAGAGAGAAAAATAACAAAGGTTGAAGTAGAGAAAGTACCAAAAACAAAAATCAAATACTAGATTACTACTATAAATTTGGTAAAAGGTCATGTCTTAGTACAAACTTACATGTGCAGTAGATCCAATCCCACTAAAAAACAAAAATGAATTCGAGCAATGAATTTACCTACAATAGCAAATTAACAATTACCCTCTTTTGTCGTCGTTGTTCCCTTTTATGGTTGTGAGTTCACATGTAATCCCCTCAGTCAAAGACATTGAGTGATTTCAAGTTGGGTGTTAGTGTTAATGTTAGTGTGCAGTTTAGAGCAGTCAAAAGCTCTTAAATCAAGCTAAAAATTTGCTGATGAAATTAAGAGCCAGATACCGATGTCAATATCAATAGCTTAACACCACCGTCAACACCACTGTGACATCGCCACACAGACTCGTTTTCACGACAATGATTTAAAAATAGTACATCAAAACTAAAGATATGAAAAGCACATAATAAATTTACACTTATTTCTCTGGTCCTATAAAATAACTCATTTTACACAAAAGAATGTATGAATCACATAGTAAAGGACCTGTTTCACATATTTATATTTGATAGCCAGACAATAAATTAGCGTCATTCGAGCATTGACTGCTGCATTGCAGGTACATGTACGTGTGTGTTATCAGCATGGAAATATTCTACTCTAATTTAGCAACACTAACTTCTTAAACAATAACACCAGCCCAAAACACCCAACTTGAAATCACTCAATGCATGTACAAACTGCACTCTCTACATAACAATGCATTATGAGTATACATGAATACATACATGTACACTGTACATTATGTACATGTACTGTATGTACTTTTGTACAGACAGCCATGCAGTCTCAATTTCCTTCTTTAGTTCAATAAAAAGTAATAACAGGTGGGTGCATTGCTTATCATGAATACCGGTAGTCAACATTTCAACAAATTTTCAACATTGCAGGTACATTGTACATGGGCTTCTACTAAACACTTGGGTTGCGGCGCTAGAAAACACTCTGTCACGGCTTGCTGGACCAATTTAAAAAAAAATTATTATTATTATTTATTTGCCAATTAATTAGTCACATAAATACAACAATGTAACAAACATGAAATGAGACAAAATCAATAGAAAACATATTGCAATAGCAGGTGCATCCAGTCAAGCTGCCCGGGTATGGATAAAGTTACCCTAGCTAATACCTATGATCCGCAGACCTTCCTCCCCACATCTGACCAGATGCACCTGATATTGACTAAAATAAAGTTTTAAAAAGAAAAGAAAGATGAGAAGGAGAAGGGAAAAAAAAGGGGTAGGGGGGGGGGGGAGCACTATCAATAAACATTGCATTACAAATTTAAAAAGTTGCGATTTTATGACATAGTAACTGTTAATCATTAACACCATCATCACATTATAAACTAGATGGACCTTCGACCGCGCGCATTCGAAAATGATGCCTCCGCCATGGAGCAATTTTGCAAACAAAAAACAGAAGCGAGCTATTTTTGCATACATAATAATGAGCCCTGTGACCTTTGACCTCGTTACCCCCAAATTTAATCAGTTAATTGGCTCTGCAAGATAAATGACCTAAGTAGGGCAGGAATCCATCAATCAGTTCTTGAGATAACGCGATCACGAGCTATGTTTGCATACATAATGACCCCTGTGACCTTTGACCTTGGATCTCGTGACCCCAAAATCTAATCAGTTCAGTGGCTCTGCAAGATATAGACATGACCCAAGTTTGGCGGGAATCCATCAATGGGTTCTTGAGATAACACGATCACGAGCTATTTTTGCATACATAACGAGCCCTGTGACCTTTGACCTTGGATCTTGTGACCCCAAAATCTAAGCAGTTCATTGGCTCTGCAAGATACATACATGACCCAAGTTTGGCGGGAATCCATCAATTGGTTCTTGAGATAACGCGATCACGAGAACGGACGTACGGACGGACAACCCGAAAACATAATGCCTCCGGCTACTTTGTAGCGGAGGCATAAAATAATAATATTAATAATATTATTATCATGATTATTATTATTACTATTGTTATTATTATGATTATTATTATTATTATTGCTATTATTATTGCTATTATCATTTATATCATTGACATCAATATTAATATTGAAACATCAACAAAAATTCATTGTCATTGAGAACACTGCACGATCATGAAGGTAAGCCCTATATCATATGAAAATATAAAAATTCAGATCATACTAGTAATACAATTTTGTAATGGTTTGTAATGGTTTGGAATGGTTAAAATGGACTATGTATGACTTCAAGTACATGTACATGTAATTATTGTTTCACATTATATAATGAGAATTGAACAGAAATTATTTGGTATACATATCGCAAGGGAGTAATATTTATAGTAATTGAAATTTCTAAAAAGTAGAGACTAGGAAAAGATTTTTTAATGGTGCCTTCAAATCGGCCCTACATGCTGGGAAAATCTTATCTTAAATTAACGACTGTTTTTAACCATAAGAAAATAAGAAGATAAGAATTAAGGCTGACATTAGGAAAGACAAATGAAGTGGATAAAGTGGATCTCAGAGAAAGTGTAATACTACAAGGGAGTATGATAGGCCTATATAGGAATGAAACAAGGAAGAATGGAAAGAGCGATCTGAGAAGATGAATTGTGGAAAAATTAAGAACTACCAAGAGAAGAATACAAAGGAAAAATATATTAAAAAAGGAAATGAAAGAATTCATTGGCCAGATTTAACAGTGATAAAGAGAGTAAGGAGAAAAAAAAGGAGAAAATCAAGAGTTATATGATACTTGTTGGGGAATGGGCTACCCTGTCAAAAGATTAGAAATAAATAAATAAATAAAATAAAAAATAAAGGGATAGAAAAAAATGAAGAAAGAATATTTCTAAAAGACTGACATATGAAAATAAAGTGAGGAATAAAACTTTATAGGATGGAAATTTCAAGGAATGATGGAAATCTAGAAAGAGAAGATGAATTGTGGGATACAAAGAACAAATTATAGAAGACAAGGGAAAAGAAACTATTGTAGGCCCAATGTGGTAGAATGCACCAGAAGAATTAACAATTACCATAAAGATGGGAAGTTGAATTGCAGAAAATAAAGAATTACATTGTAGGCCTACAGGAAAAGAGGAATAATGGGGGATGATGAAGGGAGAGAAAGAATTAAAGATGTAGAAGAACAATTTTTAAATATGGCACAAGAAAACACAAGATGACAGGGGAAACCAACAAAGAATCTCTTAATGATTACATGATGGAATAAAGTGAAAAAGAAGAGGGAATGAAAGGACAAAAATTAATAAAAACAAAGAAACTACGACAGAGGGCAGAAATACGATTAAGAAATTTTAGCAGAAGGAATGCAAGAAATGAATGGTAGAAGAATCAAAGATAAAGATACACATAAATTATAAAGGATGATAGAAGAGGTGACAGGAGGAAAAAAATGTGAGGGATGTGCGAGAGAATTAAAGAAAGATTAAAATGATATTAACGATACATAGACTCTTAAGATTCATTGATGTAAGGACGAAAACAATAGAATAAAATAAAGAGTGTGGATAATTTTGAATCTCTTCTTCAATAAATTTTCCCCCTTATAAAGCTGATCTTAAGACAACATTAAAGGTAATACAAAGTTTTGGTATGGGGTCATAAATTTAGTTCAAATGAACATATTGGCAGCATATGCGATCCTACAATATTTGGTCATCGTTGTCGCGGTTCACATCGAGTCTGAAGTTATGAAATTGTAAATAATAAACACTTTATGTTGTATACCTCCCTCTCAAGGTCAAGATATTAATTAAGCTATAAAACAATGTTTCTTGACTAAAATCGACCGATTAGCTCTTCCCGTTAGGAAATTATATATCACAACTACATATTCTGAGAATTTCATGGTCGCAGTTACCATTGTACGGCCGAAGGCGCTATATGAAATTTATCAAAATTTACCGGGAGCACCGGTAAATTTTTATATTCAATTTTTCTCGAAAACAGAAGTGTTTTAGGGGCCAAATTTTCTACTGCTTTTAATACATCCATAGGGGCATCCAAATATATCAAAATTGTCAAGAATTACTATCCACCCAATGTTTACAATTTCCCAAAACTTTGTATTACCTTTAAAACAAAATTGGCCCAGCAAGCCGCGACCCGAGTGTTCAGTATAAGCCTGTACATGTACATGTACTTAATATGTGAGTGTACTCAAATACATGTCTGTGTGCGTGTGCATGCGTACACACTGTATGTTCATAATACAGCAGTCTGTCTTTTGTTACTGGGAGGTGCTGCAAAGGGCTTAAAAACATGTAA